AGAATGCCAGCTTCCACTAGTCCCAGGTGGATCGCCACGCCCTGTCGTATTCGTTTCGCATTCCAGTTGGCCGTACGTGCGAAACTTGAATGCCCTGCTTTGCGGCACGCTCGAAAGCTATCGGACGGTGCATAGGCTGCAAGAATGCCTGGTGATCAGGAAGCATATTAGCAGCAAGATGATGCAGCAAGTAGGAAAAAGCAGGACTTCCTTTCACATGCATCCCTCTTGCAGAAACAAGGAGGCGCCATTTTACAAGTTTGAGCCCATCCTGAGAAGCTAGAATCAAGAGCTCCAAGAGGAGGGCGTCAGGGCCTGCATCCATGATCATTGGCAAAAGATGGCAGGTGGTAAAGTCCGGTGACAAATCTGCAGGCAGCTCATGATGACCCATGTAGAGCTCAAATAAGCAGGTCTTTCATTCAAAACATGCAGCATTCATAGCATGATGCAGTCAAGTAATTGTCTGGTTAGAAGATTAGATCTCTCAATCTGCTGGTGGGCTGCTTTGCCCAAGCCACATGCAACTTTTGAATTGACATTCCGACATTCTCAAGAAGCAAGAAGCCCACAAGACGAGAATGAAGCAAGACACCAGCGAGATGTCAGGACACAATGCCAGATTGGAGATGAGAGCCCTGCATTTCATATGTACAGATAGCTAGTGCGGAACCGCTGATCCTAACACCCTAGCATGTTTCTCTTCTTCCGCTACTGCCCAGTTGGCATACCTGCAAGCACAAGGTGGGCATCATGTGAGCACGTCGTTGTCAGAAATGTTGAAAGATTGCTGTGCATCAACATTCTTACCGAGGGAACAAGGGATTCTCGACACCCTTTGTGTCATTCAACAAATACCTGTGGTGACACATCTTTAAAATGATCAAATACACGTGCAGTTGAGGTATTCTGGCAGGCCACCAGTTCTTACAAAAAGCTGCTTATGCGCTGGCCATCCAAACGCGAAAAGCATTGTGTGCACTAAGCATCTAACAGTCTGCAAACGCTTCTCTTGACCACTCATCGTTGCTCTGCCACCAATCACCAATTCAAAATCTGCTGGTTATGGAGCGCGGTCCGGAAATGGCCGTTCACCTGCATGCAAGTTGACTGCATTTATGTAGTATGTCATTGAGCAAAACTATGGATCTCTTGCGGTCATGCCGATCTCTGATGTGGACTACTGAATGCAGAAGGCCCAGCTACTTGCAATCAGGGGTTCGAGTGTGGCCACTCGCTGCGGATCCTGCTCTCAAAGACGCCAGCCCTCAAAGACGCCAACCCTCGTCACAGTGGCAGGAAGGTACGTCGCTGGTTGCAGATTGAAGCCTCTGATTGCTTGGGCCGCTGATGTGGTTATAGACTGCTTCTAGTCAATGTCTTACGTTGATACAAATGGCTGGCTATCTCCGAATGCATCAAAAGTTAAGGCATCCGTGCACCAGAGCTTCTTAGGCCTTACCTAGGCATCGCTCAGGTTAGCGCGCTTCCTGCCACCCATCTGCGGACCGCTTCCTCAGAGCCGCAGTCAGATGCATCTTCCTGCGTAATCCCTTGCTCAAGACTGCCGCTGCTTTCACCTGTTTCTTCACTCCCACTCGAAGATGAGACCTCGCTCTCGCTTTCCGCTTCCCCAGATGCCCCTGCAAGTCCGGGGAAGGAAGCCGCTGGCCCCTCAACAGGCTGCGTGTCGCCTCTAACGATGCCCATTGCTCCCGTTCTGCCCTCCCCGTCTAGCCCCGCGCTCTCAAGGTTAGTTCCCACAATTGAGTCCCGGTTACTGCATTCCACGCACCGGCAGTGTCGTGTGCACAACTTTCCGGCCTCGGCACATGCGCAGCGGCCCCCCTGACATTTGGTCACTTTGCACCCACAACCTGGCTTCTTCAGAATCGATTTCACCCGGGCTTTTATTTTCACCATTTTGGTGTTAAAATCGTAGTCGAACTGGAGGGACCCCTGCTCATCTCTCCTATACCCGTACTGCTCTATTGAGAGACTGCTCATTCTGCCAACGCAAGCATGGACCAACTGGGCGGACTCAAAAATTGCACGCTCGTGGTGGAATTTTTGAGCGCCGAACGAGGGAAGAAGCCGATCCTCGTTTGGGACACTTGCCCACATTTGCAGCCGCATCGCCTCCACCGCCGTCTCCAACTGTGCCAAGTAGTTCGGGTCCTGGCAACCCAGAGCGCGGATTGCTCTTGGGGCACTGTAGGTTCTTCATACAGACGCTTGTGCGCTTGATAGAAAACTACCAAAACTAGCCGAAGAAAGGCTGCAAGGGACGAGCGCAAGCCAGGCTTCACGGACCCCCTTTTCCGCTCCCTCTGCAGGTGCCACCTCGCTCAGGCGGCCCGCAGCAACTGGCGTGTGCTCCTGCTCAGCCCGCCACCCCTCCGCTTCCGGACTGGCGCCGGAGGGGAGACACCAATCAGCACGTGTCTGGCCAGCCTCCCCGCAGATGTACTCCGCATGCTTACAGAGAGCCTCCAAGAAGGAGACCTTGCTGTGATGCGCGAAGAACGAGGTCTTGTCGCACTCGGTGAGCACGAACAAAGCGGCGATGCAATCCAGTCTGCGACCCTCAGGGATTGGTCGCAACTCGGGATAACCAGTAAACTCAGTTGCCAATTTGTTGACGTCTTCAATGTCTGGGACGTTTTGGGTGGTGTCTGGCTTCTTAATCTGCACGTATGCCTGCTTTGGGGTGCTGGGTTCGGTTTGCGAGGGGGCACTAGGGGGGCCGGACCACAAGCGAAAGGTTTGGAGCCCGATCATGGTGACGTCAGAGTCGGGGGAGTAGATAACGACTGGGGATTTGGGGCAGAGTTGTGACGAATAGGGCTTGGTCAACCCTAACCCGTCACATAAACCCGACTAATATATAAATTACGGCGAAAACGATGTAAGGTATCGTCTGGAAAACCTTTTGTCGTCCGTAGCACAGTGGTAGTGCGCCGGGCCGTCACATTGGTATCAGAGGTCAAGTTGACGTCGGGATGACGTCACCTTTCCTTCGGCCCAAAGCATCGTGGGTTCGAACCTCAAAATTCCGCATTTCTGACTCTGAATTCTGAAAGTGAAGGTCACTTTTCTGACATCTGCATAAATCCCCTGATTTCGGCAAAATTCTGGTCTGATCTGCTCTCCGCTCTGTTGGGAAGTTGCTCACCCCAGGTCGGATTCGGGGGGTAAGTTGGGGAGAGTGTGACGATTAGGGCCTGGTCAACCCTAACCCGTCACATAAACCCGACTAATGTATAAATTACGGCGAAAACGATAAAAGGTATCGTCTGGGAAACCTTTTGTCGTCCGTAGCACAGTGGTAGTGCGCCGGGCCGTCACAAGAGTGCAGTGTGCAACCAGACCCTCGTGTCAGCTTCGGCGTGATTGCTGTGGTAGTTTGGATCTATGAAGTCCTTTGAACAGCTCGCCATTGAGGGATCGTTCTAGAGTGCGTGCGTTGTCCAGGTAAGGAGGCCCGTCGAACCCCCCCGAAATGCAGAACGTTTGCCCCGGTTGAAGCTTGTCTTTGAGCAGCTCCGGGAGGACATCGCTGATCAAGTTGATGAGCTTTTGCTTCACCCCCTTGTCCGCCAACCAAGCGCCCCATTCGTGCTGACTATGCGGCACGCGTGTCTTCGTGTGCCCCGGTTCTCTCCCCCCAAGCGAAGCCTGCGGCGGCGCTCCCGCTTCGGTCCCTGAGTCTTGCCCAGTTCTCATCCTTCGAGCAGATTGCGCGGCGGCGCTCTCGCCGCGGTCCCCCGCGTCTTGCCCCAGTTCTCTTGCCCCGAGCGAAGCACGCAACGGTGCTCCTGCTGCGGCCCCCAGTGTCTTGCCCCGGTCCCTTCCTCCGAGCGAAGCGCGCAACGGCGCTCCCGCTGCGGGACTTCCCTTGTGTCCTGCCGGGCGGTTCTCCTGCCCCTGAGCGAAGTGCGTGGCGGCGCACCTGCCGCGGTCCATCGTGTCCTGCCTCGGTCTCCTCGCCCAAGCGAGGCACGCGGCGGCCCGCACTCCCTCTGTGGTCGCCCGTGTCCTGCTCTCGTCGTGTCCCGGCTTTCGGTCCAAGCCGAGTGTGCAACGGGTGCGCATCTCTGTGCCTAGCTACATGTCCTGCCCCGGTCCTCTCCGTTTAGACATGCCCAGCGTGCGGCTGTTCCGGTCTTGCGGGCCAGCCCGGCAGAACCGGATTCTGCATCTGCACATTCGCACCGCGACGGAGAGTGCAACGAGTGCGCGTCTAGGGGCCTCTTAGTCACTTCAAAGTGCCAGTCGGCATCATCCGCGCCATGCAGCCACATGGTGCGGTTCGAAGCTAAGCGCTACATTTGGGTGCACTGGCGGCTGGGACGGTAAGCATGCAGCCAAGCCTTCAAGCTTGTTGATACCGTCACCATTGGAGACATGATCGAGTTCGCTTTGATAACAGAGGCTTTCGAAAGCTAACAGAACACCAGAACGTTGCTGCATACTTTAGATGGACAGAAGATCCTAATGTGAACCGGGCCTCTGGCAAACTTCGATTATCCTAGGTAAAGCCCAAAGGAAGCTCGAGCTAGCTTATTTGACACGCACCAAGAAAAATCGAAAGAATGTCTCGGGCACAACATTTTAGTTCCTCATCGGCTTAGAATCAGCAGCTTTTCCGACGCATTAATGCTCGGACTGAATACGCAGTCACGTGTTTTACCGCACACTGTAGATTCCATGCAATGACTCGCTTCAGAAATTGTCCGTTCCAATTGGATGCTCAATTGCAACCTGGCAAATGAGTATACATCAATGTCAGACTATCAACCCGTCAACGTGTCAGGCCTGTAAGTTTGTCTACGTCACACTGGGTAAGCTGCTCCGACCCGCTTCAAATCTATTCGGACATGTAGAACTTTGCGAGGAGATACGCAGCGTTCAGATTGATACTTGTGCTGCAGCCAGCCTTCGAAAGAGTTCTCGGGGTTGCCGAGGGACTTAAGCGTGTAAGTGAAGTTGGTGTACTTGATCGCGTCGACAGCTCCGTCCTTCCTTCTGACCACGTAAGAGAGGGTGCTGCTCTCGCATTCCTGGCAAGTCAGCTGCACAAGAGGTAAAAATCAAAGTGAGATGCACAGCTAAAAAGGATATGGTGGTTTTGCACCGGCCACACCAGGACGGGGATTCTGGTAGATATAGATCGCCTCAAAGTAACAAAGAACTAAGCTGAAAACTGTGGCTGTAGAGGAAGGATCTTTGAAGGGGCCGGACACGATTCTTGCAACTTGAGATGCAACCTTTACTGCCTCCGTCAATATGACCAGTCCTGGCCCCGGTCCTGGCATGGATCACTTGTGCACGACTCTTTTTATAGGTGAGCTGGTTTGCGAATCATCTGACATGAAGATCATCAGGGAAACAGGAGACGTGTGAAAACTTGCGCGGTTCAAGCTAGCAAAGTCTGCCGACGTTTGAAAGGCTTGAGCACCCTACCTATTCGTTATTATGACATCCGGCCCTTACGGAAGCCTGAAATGAAAAGTGTCGTCCACGAGCTGCAAGCTGGTCTTACGTGTCCCTGCAAAATGCATGCCTGACCTCTTCGGAAGCAAGTTGCCGAACAAATCACAAAGCTTCAATTAGACCACTTTTGGCTCCACTACATGGATGCTTACCGGGACTCTGCGGATCATGCCTAGCACCCGCGGAATCGAAATGTCGTCGAGGCCCTTGTACCCCCCGCTTCGTTCGATACCCTGGAGCAGTTCCGCAGTTGGTGGGCCGACGCGGTGCACGACCCCAGCAAGAACTTGATCTTTCTCGTACGGCCGTTGAAGCTCTTGACCTGGTTGTCGCACCCGAGGCCCTTCCCGTCGCATTTCACGACCACAAGGTGTCCCTTAAGGCAGTCGGGGCAAGAAATCTGCGCGAAAGAAGTGGCATTTATAGAGTGAGCTAGGCTCAGAAGCACGATATGACGGGAGATACAACCCCATCCTCCTTTGCCGTCGGTTTCTCACGGTCAGTGGACGTCATAGGATCGATCGCATCAGGGCTCAACCGGGCCCCAGTTTGCGTCCAATTCGTCCTGTAAGTGAAGCTGGAACCTTCCAAATTTGGTGCACCCCCGAGGATACACCAAACGGGCCAGAAGTTATAAGCACTCTCAACCGGGGCTTGATCACGAGGCGTGATGAAGTCACTGACACAAACTTGAAGCTCCGACAGTTCTGTTTTCGCATTGCTTGCCAGCTCTAGCTTCAATATAGATGACTTCAAAAACCTGCCAAACACTCACTCTTTCCGAAAGCACCCTTGAAACACAAGCCAGTCCCACGAGTCAGGGACACGAAACACCATCAGGAAACTGGGTGAGAAACGCCGCGAGTAGAAGCAACAGAGACTTTGACGGCCGTTGATTATTCTTGATGCCGAGAACATATAAGTTACAAGTAAGAAGCTGCAAAAGGTTTGATTGGACGAAAAATAGACCACCCAGCAGAGCCCATGACAAGATCCATGCACTTTCCACTATTTACCTTAAGCTTCCTCAGCTCGGCTGGTGTTCTTGGATCAGAGGTCTTGCTCTTCGGCTCTCCTACAGCCGCCTCAGGCTTGGCATCGGCTTGCAGTGATGAGGGTGGGGCAGAGGACGGCGGCAGAATCTGGCAGCGAGGGACGGCACCGGCAAGGCTGACTGCGGCGGGCCTTCCGTTGGCAAAGACCACTGTGCCGGTGGTACAAACGGGCAAAGCCCCAAGTACGATGCGAGGCTGAGTGCTAGGAGCGGACATCACCTACATCATCAAGACGGCCATGATTGGGCATCTTACAGTATGGAAAAGTCAGGTATTTGAGATGGGCAGAGCAAGGTTGAGAAGACAATCCGCAACCTTTGGTAATACTGCAATTTAATTGCATTCCAACCATACCCCGTCAAATGTCTGACCTCAAGGGTATACTAATGCAAAGGGTTCACTTAAAGAGTTCTTGTGCTCCATGTAAGACTACGCAAGGTTTCCCACAACTCGTTCCGAAGACGAAGATGCCTATGCAGCAGCAGAAACAATGGAACAACACAGCAAGCAACTTTGCGAGCAACGCATTGTCCAGAATGTCACCTCGGCGTCTTCTTTGGGCGCCCCCTTCCATTTCTTCGGCGCCTGCTGTGACAGGTCCAAAACCTTGCTACGCTTCTCTCCTCCAAACCTGCACGTGCCATGTGAATCACCATTGTCAATGTTAGGCTGCCAGGATTTATTGCGTCACGTTGAAAGTTATTTTTGCTGAAGTCTTCCCATGTTCGAATGTCCAGAGTAATTAGTCATTACAGAGCGGGGGCAGATCTAGGTATGCATTCATTCAGCCTGGTGCGCAAGGATTGCGAATGGACAAGTTCCAATAGCAAAACTGCTCGAAAAGGGGCAGAGACTGATCTGATTGCAGGTTGTATGATAAAATCAAGACGAGAAGAGACCTGCGCAAAGAAGATGCTCGAAGGAGAGGTCCTACTGCTTGGTGAGGGCCTTGGCTGTCAAGGAGCGAATAGGCCGTCGTGGCTTCAGCTCGCTGATTGGGCTCTTGGACGTCGGCGCCGCCGCGTGAACCAGGCCCTGCAAAGATGGTAAGGTGGGAGCATGCTTGTTTTCAATTATAGTAGCAATTGATGCATCTGATGGGGTAGAAAAACTGATCTGTCGAGATGACTCGCGGTTGGTCATTCTACAATGATAACGTCTTCAAAGCAGCAACACGACATGCAAGCAGGCTCATTGAGTGATTCTGGGATGCGGCAGAACAGCGGGTGCTGTGACATAGAATGTTCTTTGCCAGAAGCTTGATTGGAATGGTGAGTCTACAAATGCTGTCGGCGCAAGAGCAGCGAGCTTCTTTAAGTAAGCATCTCTGTCAATCAGGAACTTTGAAGCGAGCTGAACAGCGTGTGTGCAGCTCAGATAATATGTGAGCTGCCCAACGACGAGCAAAGTTTAAACACGGAACAACGATTCCAGTTATTGAGACTTTGCTCACCGTTGGTTCGTCAGGAACTTTCTCAAGCCGGGCAGCTTTGACGGCGTACTTCTGCTCCTGCTCCTCTCTTTTCCCAATCAGCCGATGCAGATGTAAAGAGACCCTCGTTGACGCGCACCTCGCGCAAACCAGCCCTCTCCTTCTCATTCATGAGGGAAAGGTCCTTTTGCTCCATGATCTTGGGAAAGACCTCAAACTTGTCAGGACCATCAACAGAACGAGGTTGCAGCTCAAAAGCTCTCAGCATGTCAAGAGAGCAGCGTTTGAAAGCGATGGGCTCGTCATACTCAAGTGTTTCCTCATCGAAAGCTCTCAGTGCGTGGAAAGTTTACCAACAGCACTGTGATCAAGCTCCGCAACAATGTGATGGCGCTTAGGTAGCAGCCGAGTGGAGCGGTGTGCGCAGTCAGCACCCAGGTCGGCAGAGATGGTGGTGGTAGAAGAAGAGCTTATAGGCGCTGCTCTGATGGATGATCTAGAGATGCAGGGAGGCGCCATGAGTGTATTGCTGCAGAGGAGGGGGCTGAAGGCCTTCTGGCAAGACTGTGAAGCTAGACAGACAGACAGAGAATAGTGAATAAGGAAAGGCGATGCTGAGAGTTTTATAGGGCAGTGAATCTGCTTTTTGCGCAGCTGTGGATCTGGTAGCATTGAGTCTGCTGCCAGTCGCGTTGACTCTGAGCTGAGGAGATAATACTGAAGTCTCATCTTCTGACTTGCAGCTAGATAGTAAAGCTGCCACAATCTGTGCATCTGCAGCACCTGCTGCTTCAGACAACCTGCTTCCAAAGCACCAGGATGCAGGACATTGGCTCCTGACAGCTGGAGGCTTTTCACAGCGCCATGCCCCGAGATACAACTGCTGAAGCACCGCTGAACTCATTGCAAGTGCACACAGAGCTCCATTGCAGCTGAAACGAGCCATACTACCGTAGCTGCTATTTGATTTACTAGCAATGCATCTTGCCCAAGGAGCTTTCGCGTAATAGCATGCGCTTGAGCTGAGCACTGCGCTTGACCTGATTCAAGTGATTGATTGTTTGCATCTTTGATATCGGGGGCAGTTGTGTACAAACCCCGTGTTGACATGCCCGCCGGCCTCAAGCTGGCGCCAACTTTCAATGACTGTGATTGGTCGAGAGATACTCTCGGCCAATGAAAGGGAAGCTGCTGCACTGACGGCCTTCACAGTTTGAGGAATTTGGCGCGTAGACAGTCTACCGGTGAGAGCGGAATCATCCTCGTTCGACTGGTCAGTCCGGGATGACATCACTGGGGTTCACAAGCGCATCGTCTCGAAAAAAAGGAGGTCAAGAGATTCTCGGGTCTGCGGGGACTTGAGTGGCATAAATTATCGACTAGGCGTATCAGTCCTTGTCGAATGTCAAAGTTTCATGCGTGCTGTTGCGCTTGGCCAAGAACATAGCGAATTGCCACGTGTGAGTATGACGGTCGTCGATTACTTTGATCGAGCGGCGGCCGCACACGCAGGCTCGAAGATCAATTATTATATATTTTTAAAAAGTTCTAAAATTGTGCGTCCGCGACCTTTTTAGCCTAGTGGTTAAAGAGGTTGGTCGGATGGCTTGAGGTCCTGGGTTCGAGTCCGAGCTCTGGCAGTGTCGCGTTTACACCACTTCATTGTCAATGGGTTGCCGTGGACACGTGGCGATTTCCTATGTTCTTGCCATGCGTGAACCTACGCATGAGGGTTTCGATACAATTTGTCGAATGCGTTACATGCGTTACATATATACATATGAGTCTGTGTCAGGTTTCGACTTCGACTTCGATAGATGGAGAGTGACTATAACACAGACTATAACTCCTCCGGCTCCAACACCATGTTTCGAGCCTAGACACTTGGCAACTTCTGATTGGCGGTATCGCTTCGAGCGAATCTTGCCTTGTCAGTGGCGCAAAACTATCAAAATAGACTCCTTTTGTTAGTGTCTCCGCCACTCTGACTGGTGTGAAGTACTCTCAACCCACCTGGAAGCACCTGAAGTGTGACAATTATTGCTAGTTGTCGGTGGTTACGGGAGTGGTTACAACGTTGACAATGAGACTGACATCGCGACATTGACATCGACATCGACATTGACATTGACCCGGGGCACCTACTGTGAGGTTACGTTGCAAACCTGTGACGGTCACGCCAACCAACGAGCGTTTTCCGAGTGACATTTCCGAGTGACATTAGGGTTACGCCATTTCCGAGTGACATTAGGGTTACTCACTGACAGTGACAACCGGGCAGAGTTCTTTTGGTTTTAGGGTGTCGTTCCACGAGCGGTGGAAGTAGAATTATAAATTCCCTGATTGGCCCAAATTGTTTCTGCCGTCGGTCAACGGGCGGACTTCCGGGCAAATAAATGCCACGTCGGCGGCACAACTTTTATTAAAACTCACTGTTACTCGACCCGAGTATTCTCCCAAGTATTTGTAGGATCGAACGAAAATATTTTTCTGTGCCGGGACGTGGCACTCAATCAGCGAATGAGAGGATGCCATGTCGGATTCTGCAGTAAGTGCGTATTTTTTAAATGCGACTTCCACCGGCGAGCTATTCCACGAGCGGCCGGAAATTGGTAATATATTGAACTTCCAGGCAAATTCCGGCCTCATCAGAGCTACATATTTTATTTATTTTCCTGACTTCCACCACCGCCCGTGGAACGACACCCTTAGTGTTGTAAGCCGTTAATCCTGACCCGGTTCCATCCGTACTAGAAACCGTACCGCAATGTGTACGATAAAACCTGACATTCTGACGCATTTTTGTTCAAAGGACCTGATCTGACAGTACGGTGACCGGTCCACGCGGATACCCTGTGAACCTATGATCCCGCGTGTAAGATATTTTCACACTTTTTGGAGCCTGAGACACTAACAAAAGGAGTCTACTTCGTCGTACTTGCGCCAGTGTCGGACAAAACATTTGTGCAAGCGCGTTCGGACCTCCGGACAAAAAACCGGCTAATAAGCGGGTACGTTCTGTAGTACCCGTACTGCTATTTGATTGGGGCACCTTCGACGCCGAAAAGCTAATTATGAAACGTTGTATCCTTTCGGCAGACCTAGTGCTACCTGCCAAAAAGTACCATTATCGACCATTATCGCTCCAAAATATTTTCCAGCGGAATTCGGCAGGGCACATAATTATTTATTTTTTGCCGAAATCACGTAGCAGTACGGGTAACTGTGAAGTTAATACTATGGATTTTTAGCTAGGAGACAGTCAGTTTCAACTTTGCTTCTCACGTGCCACGCTGATAATTAACGAATTGCGGCCTCGTGCTGCTAAACGACAAGCGTTAGATGAAAATCGCCGTCCATCGACCGCCATCTAGAAAAGAAGGCTTCAAGTCTGCACCGTACGATGAAAACTCGGTTTGGAACGGTTCGATAAGATGAGCCCTCCAATCATGAGCATTAGTGATAGGCGGACAGATCACTGGGATTTATCGAATTAAAAATGAATAAACATATCCTATTTCATTCGAAATTCAACATTGTTCAATCGTCGATGCTGCTCAGACAAGCACCATCCACGGTTCAGATCGCCCGGTACAGGTTGTGGGTACCGGAGATTAGGAGCCACCCGGGGCAGTTCACTGAGCGTCTTTAACGGGTCTTCAAATTCAAAACCAAAAGCCTGAATCTATACCCAGTTCCCTCAGCTCGTAGACCCGGTGCCATAAGTCCCGTACTAGGAGGGGACCGCCCGAAGGGCGGTCTCCCTCCTAGCCCATTCTAGTTGCTTCTCTACTTCACTTGATACCCTATTTGACAAGTGGACAAGATCGTAAACTTCCACCATGCGGACCACTGTGGATGGTAAAGTATTATTGGTTGGATCGTTGATTTCAGCCATTGCGCGGTGACAAATCCGGATCGTTCTAGTTACCATGTTGTTAAAGTGCCGCTGTGAATTTTTGTTGCTAAACCTGAAGGGACTTGACGAGATATGGTGACACCGGCGGCACTTTCCAACTTTCCAGCAATGTCGGATCTGCAGACCTGTCGATCAAAAGTCTGTCGGTCAATACTCACTTCCTACATTTACCATGATAGAGACATTCCCATTCGCACTACTAAAATTTATCCATTTCAGGCCATTGCGAAATTATAGAAACTAAGATCTGGGCTTGGTGCAAAAACGCGAAGTGAAAGAAAATCCAAAAGCAGCATCAAAAGGTGCAAAACAGGCCTAAAACACTATAAAATGAGCTCAGTGCGAAAAAATAAAAACTATCCCCTAAGCTGGTGCGAAATGCCAGAACTGTAGAAATTAATTATTCGCACCAAGCTGGTGCGAATGGGAATGTCTCTACGATAGATGTCGAAGCATCTAAAGGGGTATCTATCAAGAGATTGTTGTGCGTCCTTTGAAAGTATGAGAGTGAAGTGCCATGCATTTGGAAAACAAGTGGCAAGCTCTGAACGAATGTCTTTGTGAGGGCTTGGTGCCTGCTTTGTGCTAACCTGCTGACCAATGGGCCCCCAATGGGGTAGCGCCTCCACCCTGAGCGGCGATTTTGACAAGATTCTTCAATTTGCGGTCGTTATATTGATTGCCACAGAGTATAAGCTGCCACCCGAGCACATAGCCAGCCACACGTATCCAGATGTAGGTCTTATACAGTTTGTCCAAGACGTCAATTGAGCCAAAAAAAGACGTTTCGGGCACAAATGTTGAAATTCCTGACCCAAAACGTCTCTAAATAAGGCGTTCAAAGTTCGTGTGGGTCCGGGCCATTGAAGGGATCGATGCTGGTCGCATGGGTTACCTGGTCATGTCCAACGTCAAGCGTTAGCGGTCAATTTTCTGGGTTTTGACGCCTGCAAAGACGCACCCACAAAGCACCTACTCTAGCATTCGTTCCACTTGGGTTTCAACCAAACCATGCGACCAGAAACCGAGTTAGGGCGCATACGAGGGCAGCCCCTAAAAAATCTGGGTCAAATCTCAAAAATCCGCTCGGGAAATGCGGCTCAAAGATAGCAAATATGAGCTTATATCTACGCAGGAAGCCTCACGTGACCGACTTACACGCGCGACTCGGGTTAATCCGTACGCCGTACTTCAGCATCCAAAATTCCCAAAGTTCTTGGTAAACTCCATTCGGACGCCAAAAACTTTAGCCCATAATCGGGGACCCCTACGGTTTTTGACGATACTCATACCAAAGAGGATCAGGCCCAGCGGGAAAAATCACCTCGGACAGACCGGGCGGCGGTTGCCCAAGTTGCACACTAGGGATCAGGGGTGCGGACAGGATTTTGCCCCGGGGCGCCTCTGCGCCCCGGGCCATCGCCCTGGGGCGCAGGCCAGCTTCCCTGGGGCGCACATGGTAGTACCGGGCCTTTAATAGCGCCCGGTACAACTAGCACGTGCTATATATTGCGGGCGCCGTGGGAGGCCCTGAAGTTTGAATCCTGGTCCCTGGCCCCCCTTATATTTCTTTTGAAGCAGCTATGGTATCTCGTAAATCAAAATGCTAGTAAGTACAATCTGGATATAGAAGTAATAAATGCACATATGCATCAAGAACTCATATCGGATTGTACAGTCAGATGGGAGGGGAGGTCAGAACTTCCGTAGGACGATCATCTGAAATGCTGGTATTGTAGGGACTTTATAATATAGATGTCCAATCCTCCAGCCAGCGCTTACGAAGTGGACTTCGCTCAGATGCTTGACCTTGTTCGACTTTTCCACAGATATAAGCACCAAATACAGTCAATGTCCCTGCTCAGGCCCAGATTTGCCCGGGGGCGCTTCTGCGCCCCGGCCCTCCGCCCGAGGGCGCAGGAATTTTCCCGGAGGCGCTCTGCGCCCCATTCTCCGCCCCGCCCGCACCCCTGCTGGGGATGTATTATTCTATCGACACTACTACTGACCAGAATAAAAGACTGATCCAGGGTACGAAAGGCCGTCCGAATTACATTTCCGGTTTCCTGCCCGCAACCGACCCATTTTTTGAGAAAATTTTGAAAAACGTGATATAATAAATCCATTTTTCAACC